ACTGAGGCATTTACTGTAAATAAAGGTCAAGGCAAAGCAGGGAAATTCAAGTTTGTCTTCAGGCTCCAGGGACTGTTAGTCCAGCTCCTTTCATGACCACCATGTGTATGTGTGCAAACGTATTTACTTCCAGAATGCAGCATACTGATCATGTGACAATGCCCCAGAATATTATAAGAAGTCTGTAGTCACCTTGGACTTCATGGTTCTCTCTATGCTGCACTCCATGACCATTCAGAAATTCACAGTGGTGGCAGGTGCAGAAGTTGAATTCTTGTACTCCAAAACCCCAGCTTGATTTAAAGGTTGAACCTTCATAAACTGGTAGCAGTATAGGGTCTGTGACACAGTTGAGCAGTCCTTGCTCATTTCAGTAGAGGGCAGTGGTACACATAAATACTAGCCAATACATTTTGGTATTACCAAGTGACTGATGTCTTTAGCAGATGTGGTCATTTCTTTGCTCTAGATAATAGTACAGTGGAGCAGGAGTTGTTCACTGTTCCATGTACTGTGTATGTTTCTCGTTTTAGGAGGTTTTTTAGATTATATATTTTAAATTAAACTTGTATCTATGAAAATCAGTCACCCAGCATCTTGACTGGCTAGTACACTTGCCATTTGGCACTGTTTTAAATAGCCACATTAGCCACCTGGGGAGGCGCAGTTGCCTACAAACTAGAATTCTTTAAAGCAGGGTGTGCCAGGGTGGAATCTGCTCAGAGTTTATATTCCAAATCCCACTACCCATCACATTGCTGTAGTGGTGCCTCTTGAGAAATTGGCTGAGTCATAAAACCAGTACCTCTTCACAGGCGCAGACTTACCGCCCCTTACAGTTAACATTTATAGTGAGACTTTTTTTAAAGTGGTCCTTGCATGTCCGCAGTAATATATAGGATTGCTACAAAACATTAACATCTCCTATTCCTCCATCAGAGGGAAATGCTACACTGCTGATTTCTGGATCTTTGCCATCTCTTCCCTCCACTGTTCCAAGATCCTGTAAGTCAAAGATCCTAATGGAGAATATTAAAAATGTAGGTCATGAGGAAGGTAAATTTTTTTAGCTTAGTTAGTCTTATTCATATACGTGATCTCATTTCTCTGCAATCCAATTTCAATACTAATAAGGAATACATATTAAAAACCTCTTCATAAATCCTCATCTGGTAGTCTGACATGGTCTAACCTTGAATGAAGTAACTCATATGCAGATAATATGTAACAGTGACATCTGAAATTATTTAGATGCAAGACTGAGAGATCACCAACCTACACTCTTGTGATGACTGTAAATGCTTCATTTGAAACTGGAGCTCTAGGTTACCTAGTTACAAGAACACTGGTCTCTGCAAAAGAGAACTAGTCAGCCAATAAGAGAAAGTAAACCAAAATGCAGATCTGCTTTTCCCAAAAGGTAGCTGCTGGATTTCTGTGGTCATTAAATGTTCTAGAGATATCATCATCGACTAAAGGACTGATTTGCTGCTGTGCACCACAGTTCCTTTGAAAGTCAATGGAAGTTGTCCGTGCTTGCCAGCTTTAAAAATTAGGCCCACGAGTCCTAAAAATAGCAAATATGCTTTCTCCAGATTAGATGAGGTGCTATTCTGATGAAATATCATAGCAGACTAAGCTGTAATACATCCTTTCACTTGCCCATAGTAGGTCTTGCATGTTCCAAATGGAAACTGGTAGAATATTGTTGCTAATATGGAACTCTCTGGTCTAATAATCATGGCATCCTGATTCCCTGTCCTGTGCTCAGACCACAGCTCACTTGTTTGGTAGAATCCGCACTGATAACTACTGTCATGGGCCAAGTAAAACTGAGAATCTCTGTAGTCTTCAACCTGTTTTGTGGGGAGAGGTGACCCAGGGATCCCTTTTACCAATAAGCTTGTTCTTGAAGTAGTTCTTCATACTTCCTGCTAGGTAGAACAGCCCGCATGTTTAGATCCGATACCCCTTCCCTCCCCCCCTGTGGAGGCCTGGAATAATGGCATTCTATCTTCATTTCTGTTATAAATCATTATTTGTCTTAATGGGTGCGCGTGGACTGGAGGCTTCTGTTTTCTCCTTAGAACCATGAGAGTCTGCGGAATTACCAGCCTCAGCCCCTCTAGCACGAGACAGGAATGACTTGCACCAAGCCCTCCAATCCCCCCACAGTGATTTCCTGATGTTTTCTGGTGAAAAAATGGCCCCATTTCACCCTGAAGGGCATTCATGAATACTCTGAGTCTGATTTTTATCCTCGCAGCGCAGAAGCTGGTAGCGTCATCGCTATCCATAGATCGGCTTCTCGTGGTGAGGCTTTTAGTGTTCGCTCCAGGTAACACCCAAAGCAAATGCCATAGTTAACCCTCAGAAGGCCTGACATCAAACTCCTTAGATTTTGTTCTGCTAGAAACTGATTCAGAATGTGGTGCTGTTATTAGCTGACATTGGCTGAAACAAAAGCCAAATGTTGATGAATGTCTTATCCGAAATGTAAACAGTTTGATTTTTCTTTCTTTGCGAGTCTGGGACCCTCAGGGGTTTTATCTGATTTTGGCAATCTCATGCACATTTTGAGGCCCGAAGCATGTTTTTAATTGTTACATCACAAAACTTGCCAAAATAACGAAGTGTACGGCTTAAAAACTCTCTCTTTATGAAACTTCTCAACAGCTTGACTAACACAATAATTGCTGGAACTAGATCGTATTGCCTGGTGGCAAATGGAATTTTTTCATAATGATGCTGTCTGTCATTAACAACAGCATTTGTTCTTTTCTCTACAAGAGTAGGGCCAAAAATGTACAGTATCCTTTTTTTATTACAGCTCACAGCCCTGGATAGGGTAATCCATTATAGGTGTAGACATACCGAGCATAATTTATCCTGTCCAAAACAAAAATGTGTTTAATTGGGCTGTTAATCATTTTGTAATTCTAAAAAAATTGGAGCTGTATAGGTTTATATTTTGCTCTGAGACAGCACTAATATTTTCCCATAGTATTTGTTGATATTATTTATTTCAATAACAATGGAAAAAATCCCCCAAATACAATAGTATGGTGACTCCATTCATTAGTAGAAGCCTTAACAGGTTGCAATTGACATGCCCTTCTCTTTTGATTTTTTTTAACCTCTGGACTACGCCAGGAACAATAACACACGACTCAGACTAACTAGCTATCTCTGATACTATTCTAGCAAGTGCTGATCTTTTTGTTTGATTAAAAGTTTCTTCTTTACCGTTTTTATTAGATGACAGTGTTATGGAGACTGATTTGACCAGGAAAGAGATGTCTAGTTATTACAAAACAAGACTGGTTTCAGAGTAGCAGCCGTGTTAGTCTGTATCCGTAAAAAGAACAGGAGTACTTGTGGCACCTTAGAGACTAACAAGACTGGAAGTCAGGAGTTCTGGCTTGTATGCTCACCTCTCCTACTAACTATTTGTGAGATCTTGGGCAAACAACTTAATCTCTGTGCCTCTGTTTCCCCCTCTGTAAGGTGGGTATTAAGATATCTGCCTCGCAGGGATACTGCAAAACTTGTTAAAGAGCTTTCAGATCTTTGGATAAAAGGTGCTATAAAAATGAAAAGCATTATGAGTTGATGGCCCCTATTACACCCTGTCTGAAAGCCTTTATGAGGGAAGAAAGGAGCTTTCACGTTACATGATCCAAGTCACAAATGTGGAGATTATAAAGGCATCAAAACTCCTCCCCACACTACAATTGAAACTGTGCTAGCAATAACGGCATGTTTCCAGCTGTAGTGGGACAGGGCTAAAGGATTTGTAGCTACGGGGGACTAGCCTAGCAAAAGGGCACTTTGATTTTCCTCTTTATCATTATTTATTGTTTCTGTCACTGTAACATTCAGAGTGCTCAGTTGGGATCAGGGCCCCGTTGTGCATGCGTCTGGAATGTAAGTTTCACATAAATGAATGCTGATAATGTTAATATTTGAGAATTGACACTAATACATTCAGACTCTCCCTTTATCTGGAAGGGATAAAATCTCCCAAAATCCCTACCTGCCTTCAACTGAAGACTCCCTTCTAGAAACCTTATTTTGGACGAAAGTCTACTTTTGTTGTTCAGCATTGCCTCAATTATATGTAATTTTTTTAACCTTCATTATACCTCATGACTACGTGTTTAAAACAATAAGCACTGCTCCTACAATTGGATCTGGATGTTGGCTTCAGTCGGGTTACAGGACTGAGGCCATAGTGTGTACGGGCGGGAGAGAATCTGGAGTTGGTTCAGTTGGGTCCGTGATTCCTGCTCCTCTCACCTGGGCAGACTTTATGCGACTATTAACTCTCACATTAAATAAAAATGAGACCTTGCTATAATGCCTGTGGTGGAGAAAATATGCTGCTATTTTGATACAGATCCCCTTTTAATGAGGACGCAGTAGACCAGGAGGGCTGTTTTCCCCATATGTTAGTTGAAACCTACAATTCCTGGTTTACAGACATACCGTATTGACCCCACCGTTTTTAATGTTGGATCAAATGATTTTATTATTGTTGTTAATTTTATTATTTGTTGCAGCTGTTTTTGCCACCTCATTCCCTTGATTTTACCACTTGTCTCTGTCAAATGAAAAGATGGGAAAAGGAGACATGAATTGGCTGGTGGGGTATAAATGAAACAGGTGTTGTGTGAAGTATCTGCTTTCTAATTGCTGCTGTTGGAATTTGGGGTGGAGGGAGGGGAAAAAATGGCTACACTTAATTAATAAGGCAGGACTCACATAAACTCCAGCTGTGAGCATAGGATCAGTCTTTAAAAGATTAAACTCAGGAGATGGGGCTGAGGTCTTGATTTCCTCCTAATGCTAAACCCCAAGACACGCTGCTGGGTACAGAGTATGTGTCCACTAAGCCTTCAGACTGTTCTGTTTGAATCAGAAATAAAGTATCCATTGCCACCCACATACCCCTGCTCCGGGATGGGGGGGGGGGAGAAATAAATAAAACTGACAGAATCAAAGGTTGTAAAGCTATATTTTAAATATGGGACAAAGCCACCACACTTGGACCCTTAAAAAGTTTTTGAGGATTTTTTTATCGTGTTTTGGCTCCACCTTTTCTAAAAAGAGGTACCAATTGCAAAATGTGGATCCAGATAGGGGTTTGGATTCCAATTGTCTTCTTCACCCACTACAGGGGCTTCGGATCTGGAGTTGTAGCCTGGATCCATCTCTGATGTTTATGAATAAACATCACATCTGTGGTCGCTGGCCCAGAGGCGCTGCTCTGAGGGAGAACCCGATTTGATTGTGCTTCGGTGATGGGGAATGCTGCAGAGGTACTATGGGGAGCTCTTGAAGGACCATGATGGTGAGTGCCCTAACATTTTGAAGAGATCCCTCCAAAGGGAATTTTATCCATTTCTTTCTCTATCTGAAAGATGGCAGCCATGACTTCAGTACTTGGCTAAGGCTGTGAGGGGATCGTCAGGGAGCTGCCAATAATATGGAGGAGCCCCTAAAAGTACATTTAAACAAAAACATTTTTACCATAACATTGTAATCTTTATCTTGCCATCTTCCCCACTGCCACAAAAAGCAAACAGGTACATGATCACCACCAATACAAGGTCATTCCAAAACCAAAGGACCGATTAAAATGGTGCGATGCTATTGATTTCAATGGGGTTTTTAAACTGTTTACACCCATGTCGGAGAGAGCTGATTCAGACCCTCAAGGCAAGGCAGTGTCACTGTGCTGGCTTTAATACTTTTGAATTCATCCACAGGGAAGTTACTTATCACTGGGGGTGTCATTTCTGAAAAATTCGGGGCGGGGAGGGGGTTAGATTTGTCAGTATATAGAATGTTACATGTGATTATATCATGCAAAATCCGGGGGGGGGGGCGGGGAGCGTGGAAGAAATGGAGTACTGTATATAAATGTATGAAAAGTTGGGGGGGATCAAATGTTCCCCTTACCTCATCGCAAATGACTCCCCTGCATATCACTTTAATTTGAGCTGATGGAGTCTTCATTTCTGCTTTGGATTTTCTGATTTCTCTCTTCCCCCCCCCCCTTTTGCCCACCCCTTTATTTTGAATTCTCGCCAAGCTCCAGGGGCTAATGTAATTTTTATGCTGGGGACACTTCAGATTTCCGACTAGACTTTTTGTTGTTGTTTTGAAGCATGGTTGGGGAGGGGGAGGAAAGCCCAAGTCCCTACCAACTTCAATCGACTTGGCTAATACTAGACAGGGAGACCTTCCGCCATGCAGAAAAACCAATTCTAAATGTTACAGCATGTTTCCAACAAAGAAAGGTGGGGCCCCGTTTTCCAAAGCTGTATAAACAGCAGCTCTGAGACCTAACTGTGTTGCTATTTTCAAAGGTTGCTTTCGAAGTGCTGACTCAGAGCAACGCGCCAGTATTGTTTTATCTGACTGAGATTAGGACTCAGAATGTTGTGGTTTTGTAACATAGACTCCAGTGGAACCAGCTGCATATTTGACACAGGATTGTTATTCAAGCTCAAATAACCATCTAATTTAAGGTTGAGGTGATTTTATATACGGGTTTCTTTTCTTTTCAAGAGTAGAGCAGTCATGTATGAAACAGGACTCCCACTCAGCCTCCCTTGGTTCCTAATACTTTCATTTTCATTATTCTGGTATTCTTTATTTTATGATTATGGCCTTGACCGGATAGTTGATAATATTTTCCTCTGTCCTTCCTTACACACCCATGAAGGGGGGGAAAATTCTTTTATTTGAAGAACTTACATCTAAAAGTCAAGCCCAGGGCAGCTCCCATGCCATAAATAATATTTTATATTGTTATGTTAAATCTTTTCAATTTGAGAGGATGTATTATTTGGAAAATAGTCTTGCTTTTTTGTTTCTCCTTATTTATTTGTGTGGAGGCCAAACCTAAAATACGGGGTGCATCTGAGTGAATTATTTGTCAAAAACTTGCAAATAATAGTTAAGAGATGTGCAAGCATTGATAAAAAATTGCCAACTACGGGTAATTTTGAGGGATAGTTGATTTTTCTGAATAACAGACATTTTTACAATGAAAAATGAGATAAATTTGTACATCCTACCCACCATGTTTTCTTTTTTTTAACTTGACATTCATTATTTAAACAGGTATAACAATTTAAGCCCCCAATTCAACAGCCTGTCCCTATTCAGCACTTAGCAAGTGCTTATCTTTTTGCTCTTATTTACTTACCATTGATTCCATGTGCTTAAATGCTTTGCTGAATTGGGGCCCAGTGTAGTCAAAATAAGACAGCACATGTATCCTCTTGGAACTCTTTTTTACCCCTTTAACTCCTTTCCTGAGAACCTGTACAATCACAGAATGACAAAACAAAACTGTCGCATATCACTTGCCTCTCTCTTTCACAATTGATTGCTATGAAATGCAGTACTACTTTAGATCATACTTCTAATTGTGTTGAGAGAGAATCACTATTTTTCACCACCAATTTGTTTGGGGGGGGGGGAGGAAATACATTCAAAATGAAGGGTTGTTGGTTTTGTGGGGGGGGGGGGGAAGCTGACTGACTCATAGGCTCTGTAGCCTTTTACCAATCTATCACCTTTGGTTTGAGTTGGTTAGTGATTAAAAGTGGTTACCATATAAGGACAGAAATGACACTGTAGTCTCAGTTCACTGCCTATAATGAACCAGTGTCAAGGTCATTAGAGTTCTGGTATATGACATCCACAGAATCATGCTCCTGAATCTCACTGAACCTCTGCTTTGAAATCTGAATAGAGTATAAACTGCTGTAGTACTTTCTGTTTGGAGACAGCCTGAAACTACAGCTATGAGATGAGTGAGCTGCTCTTAGTCACCTCAGTGATATCTACTCGTCTCAATCTCTGACTGACTGCCCTGTCTGCACTAACATTGCCAGTGGTGGAGCTGAACTGGTGGTGGCAATGGTGAGAAATATTTCCAGTGCAGACAAGGTTAGTGGGCAAATTGCTGATAATTCCCAGTATCGACAAGGCCAGGGAGTCTAGGTTTATTAACCCTAGTGCTTATACTACTAAACTTTTTCTTCCAATTAATTGTTAATAAATCAAGTGTCTCTGACTGCCGAATCAGACCTGCTGATGTTCTCATAAGCAGAAATCTGTTGTGTCCCTCTGCTTATGAACTAGTACATGCTGTCAATGCTGTGCATGCTTCAGAGAAAGAGTACAATTTATGTGATATCAGCTGCTTGACAAACTTTAATATACATTTGCTATAAAACAGGCAGCAATTACCCAAATGTGATACCCAAATAAAAACCCTCGATCCATTTGCACAATAGATCTTCAATTTACTCCGATTCATGCTAGAGCCACCCATAAAAACGATATCCAGCCTTAAAATCACTTTGAAGCACATTCTGAAAGACCCCACAGTTGCAAGCGATACTCCAGTACTTATCTAATGCTCATGTTTCTATGGCTTTGCCTTCATGATTCTTCCAGTGGTTCCTTTATGTGTTCTGGTATTCTGCCAAACACCTGTGACTCAGTGTGCAACAACTATTCTTACTGTTTAATTTAGCTTTGCACAGAAAGGCTGTATTAGGCCTTATGTAGGCCTAATCCCAAACCTCTAAAGAGGTTTAAGGAACTCTAGTTTCACCTAATCCCGAAACCTAAACCTAGAATCCTTGAAAACCTCCATAACACCACAGGCATGGGCAAATAAAGGTTTTCCACTATTAAATTATTAAAAGGACACAGTGTGTCTTTTGGATTTGAAACCTAACGCTTTACCTAAGAAGCTGGGGACTATCCACAATAGAGTGTTTATTTGGAAGATAATAGATTGGAGGGTTTATTTGACTAAAGTCTTATCACTAAAAAAACTAGAGGGGATATTTCTGTGCAAAGCATACCCAGGTTTCTGTTTATGGAAAATCCAAATGAAGGCCTGATATCAGGAATACATAAAATGGGACCCAATGCAGGACTGATGCCTCAGACTCTGAACATTGCTCACAGTAAACATTTAATATTAATATTACAGGCGCAATTTTGTCTACGATGTATGTATGGTTTTTCAACATTTTGAATCCAGCTAGTTTTGGGGTCTCTTATTCATGATCATGTAAAAACTTGTAACATAATGTAACTTTAACTTACAAATTGCATCCAACTGCAATAATTTCTTGCTTACATTATTTCATGCTTAATTAATTGAATTCTTCCATTCAAGAGCCCCACTAATCACACTATCTTGCCACACAACTCATTAACTTTGTGCTGTGAAAGGGAATGCTTAATTTTCAAGGAGATTGTAGGGAATATTAACTGCATCATATTCTAATACACTATTTTTTTAACGAATGAAAAACTTCAGGATATAGTTACCATTTGGTTTTATAATACATAAATTTTATAGCAACAAATTGCAGTTTTAAGTCTCTTACTTTTTTCTAAAGTGATATGAATTAAGACAATAATACATTAATCCTATTTGTGCATTGTACAATGCTGAGGATATTGTCTGTATTTAGCAAATTGTTCATAATGAGAAATACAGAAGGTCACTAGTGTCCGTGAGGTTGCTTAATCATGTAAATATGTTTTAGAGGGTGCTGTAGTAGTTGGACTGAGGACTGAAGATTCCTGGATCAGAATACCACAGTGATAGGCTCTTATCACACCCAACTAGAATAGAAAACATTACCAGCCTCCTCCTCTTGCCCAATGACTATTTAAGTGTTTATCCACAGTGGAACAACCATTGGACTGCGGGAGAGAGAGAATGACTCTGTAGACCAGTAATTAGGGCACTCGTGTGGGACACCTTGGGTCCAGTCCACTTGCTCTAGCCACTTTGCCATTATTTATCCAGTGTGCAGCAGTTTCAACAGGAGAGATTATGGGAGGCCACATCAGAATATCCATAGCTCAGTGGTTAGGACATGTTCCTGAGAGATAGGATTTGAACAGGGCTCTCCCTTCTCCCCTGCTCTGGCACAAAGGTGGGGCAATTGAACCTGGGTCTCCCAAATCCCACGCTAGTGCTCTAATCACTGGGATAAAAGTTATAAGGTGGGCACCTTGACCTCTGGCAGATTTTGAATGGGACCCTATCCAGTAGGCACGCTCAGATGCTGCCTATCAAATTGGGCCCTGTATGTGACTTGGGTGACCGAACACCTGTCTTTCCCTGCTTTATGTATTGCTCTGGGGTTTAGATGGTAAGCAGGCACCTAGATGGCTAGAGTGAAGCAGCAGTGTGCATAGGCAGAAGCAGAAGCTTAGGGGCCAAGTGAATGTAGGTGCCTACAGGGTTCAGTGAGAATTTTGTGGATTACAGTGAAGTCAACACTGGGACTTAGATGCCTAAACCTGAGAGTTAGATGACAAAGTATCTCTGTGGCTCCCACCCTGTAGGCCTTTGTTTGCCCCTCTATAACCAGGATAGAGTAGTGCTTATCTGCCAGGACAGTCTTGCTAGCTTTCAAAGCTGAGATCCTTAGATAAACTGCATTGAAATACAAAGCATAATTATAAGAATCCAGATTATGGGGTAGATCCTCATCTGAACCTCAGTGGAACTATAGCAAGTCACACTAGCTGAGAATCTACCCCTTAAATGCTACATAAAACAAGGGTGTTGTTTTCACCTCTGTGATCTGGTGTCATAAACAAATGAATCAGGGTTTCTTCCCTTTTTATTCTCTGTTGCAGCCCTGAGGATCTGTCCCATTTTGCCCTTCACTGGGCCTTGCATCATAGCAACCATCCCCCTGGTCAAGAAGGCTGGAAGTGTCCCTCCTCAAGTGAGCCTAAATGCATTTGGAGAGTGACATGAGACACTCCCACTTTCCGGGGGGCGGGGGACAGTATGCCTTTCTCCACAGCTGTCTACTACCGAGCAATGGACTTAGCTTGGGTTCTGAACTGTCTTCACTGCCAGTACAGCTGTTTTGGGAATATAGCTCAGAATGTCACTAGAAACCCTGAGTTCAATGACAGTCCCACATACAGTATTGCTGATATAACAGCAGAATTTCAATTTACTAGTCTGGTCATTTAATTATTGCCCAATATGTTGAGCTATCCTACCTGCTCATTAATTACTGTTTTAACAAAACTGATGCTAATTGCTCTCTGCCTCAGCAGTCAACTTGTCACTTTAAGTAGTTTGTCCTGCAAGACAATGTTGGTAAATGAATGTCTAATAGCAGTTGTACTGGACTGGATTGTTTTGTGACAGTTAGCTTAATGGTCCTGCCATTAAAGGCCTACATAAAATTGAAATTATTTCACAAAAATTATGATGGGTGGCAGCCTCACATAAGAGGCAAATTACCTCTTTTATTTAGAAGTAACAAAAATTACAAAGAAACCCTGAGTGAATCAATCAGCTAACAGAGTTCCTGGTAACTTACAGCAGCAAGAACAGTGAAGAGGCAGGGTTAGTTCACAGTCCACACTAACTGAATTTGGTAAAGTATCAGAAAAACTTTCAGGAATAACTTGTATGTAAAAGACTTGCTAAATGCATGCAGTTAAGTCTCCATCTAGTTGCTGGCTATAACAGTCTTACTACTGACTCACAGGTAAAGGAATTCTATTGCTCAAGCACCAAATCCCTGCTTTTGGTGCTAAAGGTCCCATGTTCTATCCTTGGTTAGGATGGTGGTATCTTGGTGTATGTGGTCACAGTTTGTTACATGAGGACCAGTCTGAAATACGTAGATTCCTTGGAATGATAAAGTTAAATTCCAACAGTATCACCTTGGCCCTTCATCTTTCCAAGAGAGATCAAATGAGTTCCATCCAGGTCATTACATGTAGGTCTTTTATAGTAAACTTTAAATCAAAGAACTCTTTGCTATGCTTGGATATTAAAGAGTCCACTACATTTCTTATAACAGGGGAGTTTGCCCCAGTGTACATGGCCAAAATTTCCCTTCCCACACTGCAGGTTATTCTCCTAGCTGCTGCTGTTCAGTCTAGAGGTGGCTGCATTACAGTGTGCTGTAGGTATGCAGTTTTGTAGTGTTTTGAGATGAAAATTGCTATAAAAGGTAAAATTTTATTCATTAAAACCCTGTATGGTAGATATGAGCAGCATTGAAGAGAACTGAATGCTAAACTGTACTACACTGTTTGACCACTAGGTGACACTGTAAAACTCCTTATTTAAAGGAATCTCCGCCATACCTGGCAAAGAATTAAAGAATCTTATGATGAACACAGCTGGAGTGTATAAGCAAGCTCTGTGACCAGTCCATATCTGGTACAGAAGTACATGACATGGTGTCAGGAGTAAACTAAGAACAGAAACAGAAGGGAAAAAGTAACAACAGTTGCAAACAGAAGGTGATATTGAATTTTTGAAAGGAGATTCAGTACAAATAACCTTAAGAGACAATGCTGAACCATTTACTGTAGACACAACTCACAGGGTTCCTAGCCCTTTACTTTATATAGTGGAAACTAAGTTAAAAAGGATGGAGTGGATTGGCATAATCAAGAAAATCTCTGAGCCAACAGCATGGTATGTGCCAATGATACCAGCTATAAAGAAAAATGGAAAAATAAAAATGTGTGGCTCTTAAAAGACTTAATGAAGCAGTTGTGAGAGAAAAATATATCCTCCCAACACTGGATGACTTCCTCCCCAAAGTGAAAGGAGCTATATTATTCTCCAAGTTGGATGCCGTGAGCAAATTCTGGCAAATTCCTTTATCCAAAGAAAGTGCTAAATTAACTACATTTATCACATCCTTTGGGAGATTTTGCTTTTGAATATTACTTTCTGGGATTACCAGGGCACCTGAAATTTTCCAAAGAAAGATGGCAGAACTGTTGATGAACATAAATGAAGCTGTAGTTTTCATGGACAAAATTCCTAAGCCTAGTCAGTCAGTCTGGACTGAAGGTAAACAAGGAAAAATGCATTTTCTGTCTACCCCAAATTGAATTTTTGGGACAGACAGCAAATAGGATTGATTCCATCTTTAACTGCAAGAAAGTAAAAGCAATTAGAGAACTGAATGCACCAACTAATGTACCAGAACCAAGACATATACTGGGGATGGTAAATTACCTTGGTTGGCTCCTACAAGACCTTTCTACACTGAATGAACTGTTAAAGCCCAACACATCTTGGCTCTGGGGGCCAAATTAAGAACAAACCTACAATGGTCAGGACAGGATAAAGCCGCTATGGCCTAGGTTGGGTATTATTGCAACTACATGGCTCTCAGTGGAAGCCAGTCGCATTTTGCTCTAGCACATCCATAGAAGCAGAAAAATGATATTCACAGATTGAAAAGGAGTGCCAGGCAAGTTTATGGGCATGTGAGAACTTTTTCAGATCTTTGTGTGGACTGGCTTCATTTACAGTAACAGATCAGAAATCGCTTGTAACCCTCATCAACAGAAGAGACCTGGATCAAGCACCGAGATGCCAAAGTCTATTGCTACGTTTAATGTCATTTAACCCAATTGCTAAATATGAGAGACTACACCAGCAACAAAAACAACCTTGACAGACATGAAACTTCAGGAAGGCAGCTGGCCAACGTATCAAAAGGACACTAAGGAGGAGACAAGAGACTACTCTGCAGTGCGTGGACAACTGAGTCAAATGGACTCATGATTACAGGCAATTGCATCATAATTCCAAACAAAATGAAAGGAGAAATCCTAATCCTCATCCATGAAGGACATCAAGGATTAACTAAATGCTGTGAACTGGCCAACCAGTCAGTGTTGTGACCAGGCATCAGCAAGGACTTAAAGAATAAAATATCTGCATGTGCACAATGCAGAATTAACAGAGCAAAGAATCTTTAACAATCCCACTACTAGACAGACCTTTAGAAGAGAATAGTTGCAGATTTATTAAAACATTTATGAAGATGTCTGTCTTGGTAGGTTAATTCTTGGTCTAATAACTTTGGCAATGTCCCTTTAATGGAGTGTACAGTACTCTGAATTCCGTCTACTTCAGGGCTTTCTATTGTGACCATCACTGTGATATAAGTATTTTTAAAATGACCTCTCAGTCAAGCTTTCTGAGACCTCGACCTTCTGTGTGTTCTAATTATCCTGAGTCCATGAAAAGGAGTCAGCTAATCCAGAGTGCTAATTCTCTCTTTGATAGTGATTCCTTCAGTTGTTTAGGTCAAGCCACTTCACTTCTTTTGCCTCAATTTTCCTCTTTGTAAAATTGTGATTCTACTATTTATAGGGATGATGTAAGAGATGATTGTCAGCAAAGCACTATATGAGTGCTAGGTATTATTTATTTTATAATTCTTGACCATAAGCTATATAGCTCTAGAAAACTACCCTGAGTGTAGTGGTTGCTTGTGTATTTTGATCCATCAGTGACTGATTAAAATGTAATGTCACAGAGTGACAGATTTTGAAAGCTGACTGCCCACAAAATTATGTGCAAACTCCCAATTGGGAAGCTGGTTTGAAAAATCAGACCTGGAAAGACTGTAGCCAAGATTTTCAAAAGTGATTTAGGGTATCCAACTTCAGACCCCTTAAAGAAGCCTAATTTTCAGAAGGCAGGTGCTCAGCTCTTTCTGAAACATTGGGTCTGTTCTGAGTCTTTCAAACGGGGCATCCAAAAAATCACTAGACGCTTTTGAAAAACCCTGCGCAGGCTGCTTTGTGCAGAAGCAACAAGCAGCTGCACACAGCCCTTATTTCCTCACCTTGGCCTAGGATAACCTTATTGTTCTCAAACTGTTAGTTTATTTACTTTAGATGTTGGAGTGAATTTGGTTTGTAAAAGGAAACAACGCAGAGGACCACAAAACGAAGCTTTTCCCACCAACTACACTATCCGCTAATGATACTGCCAACTACTAATATTCATCCCTATGAGTGCCTGAAAAACTGTTTGTTTTACTTTGGTATCTTTGGCGGGAGCTCATGTCTTTATTTCTACAGAAAGTGGGGAAAATCAAGCTTTCCTCTTACCACGTGCTAATGGATAATCCTCACTGGATTTTAAGCAGTTTTATTTACCTTTAGCCCTCTCAGCCACGTGGAAGAAATAGCATTGCCAGGGGTATGAGGTGATGATCCACACATTAGGCTATAAACTGTAAGAGGTAAAACTTAGGGTGGCAGGTTGTTGGAGAGACAAGGAATCTCTTCCTCCCCCCAAAACTCCCTTCTGCTTGTTGTAAATGACACAGGCATAACTTATCTATTCCCAAACGCAGGGGTAGTCAAGAGGGAAACCCTGGGCCAAACCCAGACGCTTTTGAACACACCCCAAAATCTTCATTTACTTTTTTTTTTTAACTATTTTCTCAGGAGTCTGGAGCTTGACCAAGGCTGGGTCTTCACTACCCGCCTGAATCGGCGGGTAGAAATCGACCTCTTGGGGATCGATTTATCGCGTCCCGTCGGGACCGACAATCGATCCCCGAATCGACGCTCTTACTCCACCAGCGGAGGTGGGAGTAAGCACCGTCGACAGGAAGCCGCAGAGGTCGATTTTGCCGCCGTCCTCACAGCGGGGTAAGTCGGCTGCGATACGTCGAATTCAGTTACGCTATTCACGTAGCTGAATTTGCGTATCTTAAATCTACTCCCCCCCCAGTGTAGATGTAGCCCAAGAAACTTGGCCCTGACAAAAAACAAGGACGACGGCGCCCTAACGTGCCATACCCCAAGGCTGCTGCAGAGAGTACCACACCCCCCAGCTGCAGGGGGCGGAGCCTGCCCTCCACCCCCAGGAAGCGCCTTGGGGCAGGAACCAGGGGCGGGTTCCGTCTGTACAGCACCGGGGCCTGGGACAGGAGCGGGGCCCGGGTGACGCTCGCGCTCTCCCCCGCGCTGGGGGGCTGCTGGGTGTCATCATCCGGGTTCCCTCAGAGCAGGGCCCACCGCCCCGCCACACCCTCCCGCTCGCGCCACCGTGCCCGTCACACAGCGCATGCCCACCTCTCTCCCCAAGAGAGAGCCGATCTCAGTCCTGGGGACGAGGGGCCTAGCGCGTCACGTGATTGCCTATCCCGGCCGGTATCGACCGCCCATCGCATCATGGGGCTCGACGCTCTGCTGCCTCTGTCTGGTCTCCCTTTGAATCTTTAGGTGTAGCTAGTAGAGCGCCGAGTGACCGATCCATTTCGTTCTCCTCCCCCTCCCCCTCTCTAATCACCCCAGGCAGCGAAGGGATGCCGCTGCCCCCTCCCGCGGCCGGGCAGCCTGGTGAGGAGCCTGCACAGTGTGTCCGCTATCTCTGGGCTCGGGGAGCACCTGGGGAGCCGGGTCAGTGCTGCCACGGGGCGAGAGGGATCCTGCAGCCACGTTACTACCTTGTGACTATGGGGGCGGACCCTGTGGGGCCGAGGGGTCCGTGTCGCTATGGGGAGAGCCCTGTAGGGGCAAGGGGTCTGTGTGGCTATGGGGGGGCTTTGGGGGGCTCTGTGGGAACGAGGGGTCCGTGTCGCTATGGGGGGCTCTAAAGGGGCGAGGGATCCCTTTCATTATGGGGGGACCCAGTGCAGGTGAGGGGTCCGTGTTGCTGTCAGTGGTAGGGATGAGGGGATCCATGTTGCTGGTGGGGGGACCCCTATGCAATATATGGGGGTGCTGGGTTGCTATCACCTCTGAGGGGAAGAGGGACTGTGCAGTGCTGCCACTCGGGGGACCTCTGTGCTGGGAGAGGGGTTGAAGGGCCCTGTGTCACTGTTACTGGGGGAATCAATATATGGAGGTTGCTTTTCAGGCTTGACTTATTTAATTGTCACACCACCCCAGTGAAACGGTTATCTCCGATTTACAAATGGGGAGACTGAGGCACTGAGAGGTGATGCAACTGACAGAAAGTCACACAGCTGGTCAGTGGAAGAGCCAGGAATGAAACCTGTGGGACTTCCTGTCTAGCAGCCCTGCCTCAAGGCAACACATTGACTGTACATATGTTTAATATATAAGCCCTTTGGAGCAGGGTCAGGATCTTTGCACGGCACCTAATGCTTTGCACAAAGGCCCTGATGCAGAGTGGGGCCTTTAGACACTATTGCAATACAAATATTAAATAACAGTAACTTGTTACACAATTGTACCATCAGAGATTAATTAAAAGCTAAATGAAATCAGGACTCAATATTTAAGAACCATGTCTCACACCACCTCCTCAGATAATATCATGGATTTTCCCTCCCACTCCTGTCTCCCTGTGGTTGGATTCTAGTTTTTTTCCTAATCTGGAGCCTCTGAGCTTCCTTCCATAAGAGACAACAAGCTGTCAGCAGTGAGATGGACATTGGGCTGTTGTCTGCTACTCCATTTTTGACTGTGTTCCCTCTAGGTTCCCTCTCTGATTGTATGGTTTAGATCCTGCCTTAATGTATCCTACAGATGGTCACATTTAATTTGTTTCATATTCTTTTTTTAGTTAATAATATTGACAGAGATGCTCAGAATTTTGAACTAGAGGAAAAGTAACTGGAGATGGGGAAATACTTCACAGGACAAATGTTTGTGAGAGGCCTAGTATCTTTGTCCTATATAAGGACAATATAGGGTGACCAGACAGCAAGTGTGAAAAATTGGGATGGGGGTGGGGGGTAATAGGAGCCTATATAAGAAAAAGCCCCAAATATCAGGACTGTCCCTATAAATTCGGGACATCTGGTCACCCTAGGACAATACTAGAGTAAAATAATATTTTGATTACCATCCAAGTCTTTGTAATTACAGTTAAACTGTTGCTTTTAAATATTCCAGAGTTGTTGTTGTGGGTATTTGGAGGAAAGAGCATCTTTGGAGAGCCCCTGTGTAATGATTTTTTTCTAGCAGATGGCATTTGTGATGCTAATGCCTTGTGCCTTGAGTTTAGAATATATCACATTAGTTTTTTAATATCAGTGAGTCATAAATACTAAAAAGAAATGTAATATCTTATAATTTTAGTGTATTGAATTTTACAGTTCTATAGTAATCTCTGTGCATTTATTTTATGACCAACAAGAATGAGTATTTTGTCAGGTTTTAAAGACTAAGTTTGATGACGTAGGTGGATTTTCCTATCCATAAAGGGACATTTCAGCTTGAGGAAGAGTGTGGTCTACTGGCTATAGCAAGGTGGGACACGGAATGTAATCTCTTGGGTTCTGTACCCAGCTCTGCTACTAATTTACTTTGTGACCTTGGGCATGTCATTTACCTTCTGTAAGCCTCAATTTCCCCATGTGGAAAATTGCAATAGTAATACAGTACTAATTTATAAAGTATTTAGAGATCTTCAAATGAAAAGCATTTACAAACATAAAAAGTATTATTATATTTTGTACATTATAGCTTTTTAGTATCAAATTTAGCCCAGGCACAACTCCAGTCAGCGGAATTGCCCCTAGTTACACCAGGATTGAATTTAACCCAGAGACTTTTACTACGTGTTACTAATCCCTCTCAGAAGCTGGAAAATACTCTTTTCTTGCTAGATTTGTCATCTTCCATTTGGTAAAGAATGTTTTCCCCCATCTGCTTTTATGTAATGCAAACCAAGTGGCTTTGCTGTACTTCCTCATTAGGAGCCTCATTGATATTGTCACAATTTTGACAATGCTTTATTTACTTTTGCTCCCTCTACTGGCTGCCTGATTCTACAGAAACCGAGCAATATACTACAAGAGCATGCATAAAGTAGGTAAGGCCCAGTCTACAAACGACTACACCATGCATGAGCATTTAGATACATAGAAATGTAAAGTCATTTCATGGGCCTGCCTACAATTTGAGCACACAGATGCAGAATTTAGATTTAGGTACCCATATCTGAAATGTAGGTGCTTTTCTTTGTATCTATTTGTCTCAATGAGAATAGGTGATATTTTTATTTCATTAAAAAATAGCCTGTATTATCCCCTTGTATACAAAAGTTTAAAGTCTGTGATTCCACATATTCTTCTTCCGATGCTCTCATTCATGGGATTAGCAGGGTGCAAAATGGGCAGGATGTATGGCCCAAAAGAGATCCCAGCCTCTGTTGCCCTATATTCTCAGTCAGAATTCCCTCTCTGCAAGATTTCTTGAAGAGCGGCTTGCAGTGTTGGAGGAACAGGCTTTTTACCTCCGCTTGTTCCTATCTCACCTCTATTCCGCCCCACCCCCCCAAATCCCAACCCTACTAACTTCTTCCATGAATCCAGTCAGAGGGAGCAATGTAACTAAGAAGGATCCACAAAGGGACTTAGGTGTTGCAATGGTGAGCATCATGGCACCTAACCTTTAGGCGGCTAGAAAATTCAGGAACAACACTGTGATCCCCAAGGTCAAGTTAGGCACCTAGGCTCCCAATGCAGTGAATGGGGAGAGAAAGGCATCTAAGAATGGGATCCTCAGAAGCAAGTCCACTAGGTGGGGAGCCGCCTAAGATAGCCAATAAGAGATGCTAAGGAGAGGGGTGTGTGCTAAGCCCCTCCCCTTTCTTGGAGATAGAAGCTTAAGTTCAGGTTGCAGGAAGGTGTCTAGCTTGGTGATCCACAAACAGCCACCCACTGCCTGGAATCAGGCAGCTTAGGTGCCTAAGGTGTTTCTTGCAAGAATGAATTAGGCACCTACCTTAATCCACACAAGACAGTCGGAGGTGGAGGGGCATATCATAATTTCTAGAATCTCTCCTGTTGAAGCTGGTCCACTGTGGATGAATAATGATAGTTGATGGAGCAGGGGGACTAGACGAGGGTTTTCCTCCCTTCCAGGTGGATGCTCTATTTAAGTATTTGTCCATAGTGGAACAGTCATTGGTCCAGAGAGAATGATGCTATAGACCTGTCGTTAGGGCACTGACCTGGGAGGTGCCTAGAGGGTTTGGTGAGAGTTTTGTGGCTTGCAGTGGAGCTACAACTGGGACTTAGGTGCCTAACACAGGGGCTTGGGTGCCTGAGTCTGGGGTTTAGATGTCTGAATACTTTCGTGGATCCCACACCTTACTTAGTCGCTTGCCCTCTCTGAATGGGTCTACCCTGGTTTTTTCTCTCCTGCACTGCACACTAGGGGAAGTATATGGGCCTAAGTTATTTAGACTAAAAAGGACACTCTTTGCAAGAATTTTTAATTGTAATTATTGAAAATGATGTCTCGTAGTACTTGTATTGTCTATTAATGACTCCTAATGAAATTAGCTCAGTTTACATGGAAATGTTTTTTCATAACCAAAATCATTCTGGAAACAAAAGTTCAGCTCCTTCTGGCTTGTTTGTGGATGTCGGTGATAAAGATTCTGCTGTCAGAACTGTTAATGGTGTTAATGCATGCAACAGAATAGAAGCTAGCTCCCAATCTCTCATGGCTCTGCAGTTCTAAAAGGAGTAAAAACTGGTTTTTGACATTAAAATCACCAGACTGAAGTCTTAATATGCATTGGGAGCTAATACACTGAAGAAGACGATGTCATTTTTGCCTTATAATTACTTCTCTGGTCATAATTGCATTTTAAAGTATTACAGATTACATTTTGCAGCCCAACCCTTCACCAATGTCCTTTATGTGTTCTTACATTCCTAGTCAACAAATTTCCTGCTTTGTACCATGCAGTATTATCTGGCTATAACATGTCTTGTGTTCACATGCCTTTTATATTTTAACTTGAATACTAATTCTCCATAAACCCAGCTTCCCCTGGAATAGTAAGAACTGTGAACCAGTCAGTTGTAACTAGTTTCTCCACAAAAGCCAATGAAAACAATACTCACAATTCCCTTTTTCCAAGATGCATGTATTTTGCCAGTGTTAAAAGAAACTTTAATGCTGACAAATCAAAGCTTGAACTTTTTGCTTTTGAGTTATTATGCTGTCGTGTTGCAATTTGCACAACTTTGAACCTAAGTAAAATGTGTGTATATTAAAAGAGAAAAGGTAGTTTAACTTAAATGGCAATAATAGCATTCTGGGTCAGAAAATGTATGTAGGTGGATTTATGGATCATTTTTTAAATATTAAAGTTTGACCCATTAAAATGTATTTGCTACTACAAATGAAGAGTTTAAAATTGCAATGGCTCGAAAACCACTGTAATTGCTGACAGGTTTCAGAGTGGCAGCCGTGTTAGTCTGTATCAGCAAAAACGAAGGAGTCCTTGTGGCACCTTAGAGACTAACAAATTTATTTGGGCATAAGCTTTCACGGGCTAAAACCCACTCCATGCATCTGCTGAAGTGGGTTTTAGCCCACAAAAGCTTATGCCCAAATAAATGTATTAGTCTCTAAGGTGCCACAAGGACTCCTCATTTTAAATGCTGAGCAATTTCAAAATTATTGGT